TTTCTGTTTTCAGTTTATATTTATCAAAGGGTTTTGGAATACAAGAATATTGTCTGATGCCAGCTTTTTATATCGTTTTACGGTGACCTTTTCCATTAAAATATTATATTAATATAATAAATTAAAATAAAATATTATAATAAAATGATAATTTATAAAGTTAGAAAAGGGTGGAAGTAGCATATGCTTTTGAGATTTAGTGGCTGCATTTTTTTTTCTGTTTTCTTTGTTAATGATATGAGTGAAATGCCTAATATACCTTCCTCGTTTCGGCCGCTTAATTAAACTTGTGAGATGTGATGTGACAATGCATTAGGACGGCAATAAGTTAAACTTTTTGACTGTTATTTCCAGCTTTCTTTTTTATAATATATTTTTTGAAGCATGAAACATACGGGTTATTTAAATATTAATTTGTTGATTAATATAATAAATCAATTCGATTACGTTTAGATAAAGATTGAATTGTACCATATGATAATTATCATTAATAAACATATGGGAGAGAGAAATACCATATGTGTGACAATATAGCGTGAGTAGGTGTTGATATTGTTTTCAAAGAAAAAGGTAGAATGATCGATATTTGTATTTATTTCATACATAATATTATAAAAAATTATAATTAAAAATAAATAAATAAATAATAATAAAATATAAATAAATGCAAAAAATTTATGTGTGAAAAAAAAATTATTTCTGTTTTGTAGAGGAGAGAGAATTACCGTGTTTTCAGATCAGACACGCGAGAGGTGTATTTGAAATTTGAAAAGAAATATTTGTATTTGAAAAGATACACGTGTTATAAGAGGTAAATACGTGTCAAAATCTAAAGTGTGTTAAAATTAATTTATTTAATTAATTTTTATACTTTTGGTTATTAGTTTTGTTTGATATTTAAATTATATTATTTCTAGAGAAGTGCACGAGAGAGACTGAAATATTTTACAGCCTCCGTTTTCTTATAAGAAAAGATAAACTCTACACATATTAAAAAGTAATTGTTGACAAAAAAGTCTACTAATCTCTTAATGATAATTAAATGAAATAAAGTAATTAAAATTTATTTGTCTAAAAAAAGTGTGACCAGGCTTACATCCAATAGAATGGTCCTTAGTAAAATGGAGTGAATAGGCCTGGCCAATTTTGTCAGAAAATTATTATATTTATAGTAAGAATATAATTTAAATAATTTTAATTTTTGTATTGTATCATTTTAAAAAAAATATATAAACATATTCTTAATATTTTAATATAAATTACAAAGGAATTAAGTTTTAATTATTGATTAAATTCCTCTATAGAATTTTCGATATCACAAAGTGGAGAATGGGTAAAGTTATTTTAAATCTTGAATGATATTGTTCACACATGGTTTTTCTTTTGAAAACATGTGGTTCAACATATAATTGACTTTCTGAAAACATCCAATGTATTGAAGGAAAAGTTATCTGATAATTTTTCAATAAAGAGATTATGTACTAATTGAGATTAAAAAAATGAAAAATTATAATAATTGAAATCGGTAATAAAAATTGCGATATTTGTGATAATTAAATTGTAAAAATGTAAAATGATAAAATTCCATAATAACACCAACACAAATTTAATTAAAAATATACAATTTTTAGTAATTACTAGACTATAACAATTCAACAGAACTCAATTCAATATATACAAATTTATCATACACTTAAAAGTCATCATAAATTTAAAATTTTAATAACGAGAATACTCAAATTAACTTCTCAATTTTATACAGTTTTTTATTTTTCTATTCAAGTAGGGATTTAGATAATTATCATTTGAAAATAACAATCTATTTCAAGTTACTTCCTTCTTCACATGAATATCTACCCTTAAAAAAATTAGTATGTTTAATATAAGTACGGTATGAATAGAAATTTCAAATGTGCATCTAAATTAAATAAAAATAAACAAGTTCAATAACGTATTAAAAAAATTCAAACTAAAAGAAATTATATATGTCCTTACAAATATTTTTAGAAGGATAATTAAATTTAGGTGTCTATTTTTCTTTCTCTTTTATTAGGATTACCTTTTGCATTCTCCAGCATCCTCGTGAATCTCTACAACTATTTTTAAGAATAAAATATTATATTATTATTATAACAATAATAAAAATAATAAATGTAAATAACCATTGTACATTTCTCTATCTTCTTTTCATTTTTGGAATCGAACATTTATCCATCATATAACATTATTTTTTTCAAAAAAAAACAGCCTTGTTACCCGCGGATGAAGTAATTAGAAGAACCAATTTCCTTTCGTTTTCAAGTAAAAATAAAATGTAAATCAAAATTTGATGGAAACAACTTTGGTCGCAGATTCACAATAACTAGTTTTATAAAATAAGAGATATTGCAATTTGTTTCGGCCGGATTGGATCACCGTGCTAACGTGAGTTTGTCGAAAATCGGACGGACGTCGTTGAATTTCACAAGCCGAAACAGATCGAGCGATCTCTTTGCTGAGGTCTGGACGTGCTGGGAGGGGTCGGACGGGCTCTCTCGTCTTCAAGTCCTGATTGTGGCGTTCGTTCCACCCCGTTCTACAAGCCGGGAGGTCGGATACCTGTCAAAGGCACTCCGACGCTTAAGTTAGTAACATGACCGAGTGGTCTGTAATACATGTATATATTGCATCGTAAGCAATCTGTCCAGAAATCATACCTGAAACCCTTAATGGACTTCTATCTTTCGTGGGCCTGATAAGGGCTCAATCGTACCTTAATCTTCATTTTAAGGGCTTTAATGAGTCATTAGCATTTAATCGTATAGTCGATCGAGTGAGGGTCGGTCGAGACGGCCGGTCAGAAGGATGGTCGGCCAGGATGTCAACCTAGGTGGACGGCGACTCGATTCTACTGTCCGGTCACACTGGACGCTCGATCTTGATGGCCGACCTGAGTAGACGTTCGGTCTTGATGAATGGTCGACCTTGGAGGGTCACTCCGTCCATGTGTTAGCCTGGATGCTTGCTATTGGTGGTCAACCTGAGTGGACGTTTGGTTTATGAACGAGAAGACCGGACGGTACAAAATTCATCTTTGCCAGAAATTTTTTCCTGAAACCAAAATGTTGATTGGAGTGTGCTATATATGTTGAGGCGACGCAGAGGCTAAGAGACTTTTCCTTAAAAGAGATAAACGAAGATGAGCAACATTGCAGAGAGAAAGCCACACGCTGTGTTGGTTCCATTTCCACTACAAGGCCATATAAACCCTCTGTTCAAACTAGCAAAGCTGCTTCATTTCAGAGGCTTTCACGTAACCTTTGTCCACACTCACTACAACTACAAACGTTACCTCAAATCAAGGGATTCTAATGCCTTTCAGGGTCTCCCAGATTTTCGCTTTGAAACCATCCCAGATGGTCTTCCTCCTTTGGATGACGATGCTGATGGTGATGTTAGTCAACACATACCCTCTCTCTGTGACTCTGTCAGAAACAACTTCCTCCAACCCTTTCGCCAACTTCTTGCTAGACTTAACCACTCTGCCACTGCTGGCCTCATCCCCCCAGTTACCTGCTTAGTCTCTGATTGTTTCATTAGTTTTCCTATACAAGTTGCTGAAGAACTTTCTGTCCCTATTATTCTCCTTTCCCCTATCAGTGCAGGTGCATTCTTGTGTTCTATGCACTTCGGTTATCTGGTGGATAAAGGAATCATACCTCTCAAAGGTATAAATTTATGTTCTTCCTCCATTTAATGTGTATAGATTCGTTCGTGTACGGATCTCACTGTTATTGGTTTTTGTGGTTATGATCTGCAGATGAGAGTTATCTGACAAACGGATATTTGGACACCACCAAAGTAGAATGTATTCCTGGTTTGAACAATTTTCGCATGAGGGACCTTCCTAGCTTTGTAAAGACAGCAGATCCAAATGATTTCATGCTAGAATATTTCATTGAAGTAGCTGGTAGAATTCCTACAGTCTCGGCTGTTGTTTTTAATACTTTCTATGAGCTTGAGAGAGATGCGATGAATGCTCTGTCTTTTATGCTCCCTTCTCTCTACACCATTGGTCCTTTCCCTTCGTTTTTGGATCAAATTCCGAATAACTACTTGGCTTCTCTTGGTTCCAGTCTTTGGAATGAAGATCCCAAGTGTCTTCAGTGGCTTCAATCCCAGGAACCCAGATCCGTAGTTTATGTGAATTTTGGCAGTATCACTGTTATGTCTGCAGATCAACTGTTGGAATTTGCTTGGGGTTTGGCCAACAGCAAGAAACCGTTTTTGTGGATCATTAGGCCTGACCTTGTCATTGGAGGTTCCGTGATTTTGTCATCTGATTTTGTGAATGAAACTAGAGACAGAAGCCTAATAGCAGGTTGGTGTCCACAAGAACAGGTGCTGAACCATTCATCAGTTGGTGGATTCTTGACTCATTGTGGATGGAACTCAATCACTGAAAGTGTTTGTGCTGGAGTCCCAATGTTGTGCTGGCCATTTTTTGCAGATCAGCCAACAAACTGTAGATATGTGTGCAATGAGTGGGAGATTGGGATTGAGATTGATACCAATGTGAAGAGAGAGGAGGTGGAGAAGCTGGTGAATGAGTTGATGGTGGGGGAGAAGGGAAAGAAGATGAGAGAAAATACGATGGATTTGAAGAAGAAGGCAGAGGAGTTCACCAGACCCGGTGGTCGTTCATACATAAATTTGGACAAACTAATTAAGGAGGTTTTGCTTAAGCAAACATCATTTGATTGAATTGTTTTTCCTTTTTATAATGTTGTACTGTAATAATCCATTGATCTTATTTTCTCTGGACTTTCTTTGAAATCGAAATAATGGGCCGGTTACGAGTGCTAATTTGTGTTTTCTTTGTAGCAGTACCTAATATCTTCTTCTCGACATTTCAAATTTGTTATCAATTAACTAATTTTCATTTTATTGTTTCTTTTCTTTTAAATTTTTCCTGTAGTAAACTTCTATTGTAACATTACATTTTTCTGAAGATGAAGCAATGGAAAAACGAAATTTTTATTATATACTTGTCTTGAAACTGGCACACTTATTTTTATTCCAAGCCACAACCGTTGTACAGAATTTAAGCATGCTCTCTCACTCGACATTTGACAATCTAGTTTAAGTTTTGCTGTATTATAAGCTGTGCTCCTTCAACTAGCTGCTTTACCACTTCTCCAGCAGGCAGAATTTCCTTGATGAGACCAACACCTTCGCCAGAAAACATCACCATGCTCTCGAGATCTCCTGTAGTTGTCACGTTTGGAACAGTACCTGCAAAACGTCGTATATCTTTGTCCTGTTTCATGCAAAAAGTACAGTCAAACACAAATGTTGTAGACATTACAGTTGCATATAAGAATGTTAGCTTTGTTACATACCACGCCATTAATTGTTGAATGGCCAATGATGGGTTGGTTGGCTTCGTTTTCGTGTGCCGGAAGCGATCTCCATTCCTTATAGAAAGGTGTCTGCAAGACACGATGAGGAGCACCAGGCCATCTTGCCCTCCCAAACACATCCGTGTATGCAGTCTCATCAAATTCAACCAATTTTCTTTTGTATGTGGAATGAGCATTGCTTTCCTCAGTTGCCACAAACCTGCAAACAAGACTCTTGGCATGAAAACATATATGAAAAGGTGTAAAAATGATAGGAGAGCAATTTACTGAAATATGATTAATGTGAAAGTAATATTTCAAAACCTGGTGCCTAAACAGGCGCCTTGAGCACCAAGGGCTAGAGCAGCAACATAACCCCGACTATCCACAATTCCTCCAGCTGCAATAACTGGTATCTCTCGGTCACCAACCAGATCGACCACCCTTGGCACCAATGTAATTAGACTATCCTGCAATTACATGAAAGGGAAAGCACTTTCTCTGAGTGGCAAAAATGTATAGTAGTAGTGTGTTGTACACAATTGAAAAAATATGATTAGCTATGATAAGCTCCAAGGATTTCAAGTATGAGTTTGGTCTCATTGAATACGAATTATCCTGAAAAACAGTATATGAGCATACATATAGTATTAAGGTTTTGAGCTAAAATGGTGTTTTAGCTTTTTTATATCACATACCCGTTACCTCAAGGTTTTAGGTTGTGAGAAAGTTACATATACAACATCTGCAATCACTACTACTACATAGACTCCTATATCTAAATACAACTTGTCCCACTTGAAGTTTTCGTATTAAAGACAGATATGACAGACAGTGGGACACCGATGTTGTAGTCCATTGTGAATGTAGGTCTTTATGGCACTAGCCACTTCACTAACGCGAAAAGTTTTAGGTCTAGGGTTTAGAGCCGCTAAAGATTTTTTCTTCCATCTTATGATTGAATTCAAGCAGAAAATTAAAAATTCTTGTTAACTATCAACACCAAAACAAGACACTTATAATCTATAAATATACATCAAAATTATTATAAGCATGCACACCTGACCCATTACATGACCACCGGCTTCAAGTGCTTGTACAATTATCCCATCGACACCTGCTTCAATTGCCTGTTTTGCACCTTCAATGTTTCCAACCTGTAATAGGTAAAAGGTTAGATACCAATCACGGAATCATTAATTTGCAGAGCAAATCAAAGGAACGCCAAAATAAGAATATAATCTTCTCTTAGGATTTGCCTATAGTTAGTAACCTATTACTATTAATAAATGAACAGAAAACTCACTTGAGGAACAACTTTAACCCCAGCGGCGTGAGCCTTATCTACTAACTCCCTTGTACAATCACCCCAGGAAATTTGCAAGACTGCAACTTTTTCTTCCAGAATGACCTTCAAATTCTCCTCAAAGGGAAAGGCTAGCACGACACCAACCCCGAAAGGTTTATCAGTTAAGGTCCTAGTCGTCTTTATGAGTCCCCTCAAATAATCCGGCGATTCCTGTTAGAGTCAAATCAACAAACAATGGTTATGCACCTCAGAACAATTAACTTGTAGAAAAAGACTGTAAATTTACACTGTATATGACAATTAACAATGAATTGATGCGCGAATTGAAGAACAGAAGGCAGCGATAAGCAACAGGGAAGCATGAGCATACCGAATCAGGGGCCCTAAGAAGACCAAGAGCACCAGCATTGGCAACTGCAGCTACAAGTTGAGGACCAGAGATATCAGGGCCTAATGGTGCCTGAACTATACCATATTCAAAACCCAGTATTCCTCTCCAACCCATTTTGTTCTGAGTTTATCTTCCTTTACCAGTAAAAGAATCTGATGAGTGTCACGACCACGATGCACACTACATGTGTGAGGCTTTTAAAAGTAAAAAGTATGTAAGATTACAACATGTGCCTTTCTGAATTTAACGTAAGCAATCACGTACTAGTAGGGCTGTTCGAAATTGTTGACCTGCTCAATCATTATATAAAAGAAGCTTTAATACGTAATTTACTTTTCTAATTTGTTACATAATGAAAAGTGAGAGATGACAAAGCTTGTTACATAATTTAGTTACTTTTTTTAACACCTCTACTTCGTAAATTCTTGTCCTGTGGACTTAGCTTACGAACCTCAGAATCAGATAACAAAAACTATTTTTTTAAGGTTAGACAGAAGCAGACACAATTAGCTTAATATACCCAGTAACCCATTTATATTATTTTTATAAACTCACAAGTATTGGAGTTGAACTTGAACTCTTTTTAATGATTGAATTATAGTGAAATAAACTTAGTGCACACCATACAATTCATATACGACACTTCTCAAAGAATTGTAGACTTTTCTCTTGCACAATTGACTTGACTGTACATACAAGGATCGTTTCTCAGAAAACTTCACAGTATAAAGATGAAGTTGGAGCATCACAATTTCAGTAACCTTGCAATTGTCTTCATTCAAATGTTCAAAACTTGAACGTGCTTCATTTATAGTTTTATGTATCCCATTTTCACAAGTTTAAATGGTTGTTTTCATTTTGCTTTTTACACGAAATTAGATTAATTTTTATTCAGTGAAGCCAATTATCCATTTTACGTCTCAGAGCAGATAGACCAAAATGATTATAATTACTTATTGGTAAATCTTGCAATGAAGAAGCCTAAGACAAGTGAAACTCAATAACTATGTGGAGGTATATATAGCAAAAGATTCAACTCTACTTTTGGAACTTTATATAAGTAATGAAGAAAAGTGATTTTCTAGTTAGTGTTACTTTTCTAACATTGTATCGGATTTAAATATTTTAATAAACATCATATCTTAATAATATATTATTACAATTTATTTCAATATTCAATTTTGTAAACAATAATGTATAATTTGTGACCTAGAGCCTCTAACGTGTAACTTAGAATGTATAATATATAACTTAGAATGTGTAATGTGTAACCTGTTATCGGTAACCTGTAACATGTAACCCATTACTTGTTACTTATAACATGTAACCCATTACCTGGTACTTGTAACTTGTAACCTGTAACATGTAACCCATTACTTGTTACTTATACCTGGTACTTGTAACCTGTAATATGTAACTTGTATAGCTTCTATCTTGTAACATGTAGCTTGTAACTCGAATCTTGAATATTGAATTTTGTAGTTTCTAGCTTATAATTTCTAGCTTGTAACTTGAATCTTGAATTTTGTAACCTATGTAATATCTAACTTGTAAACGGTAACCTGTAACCTTATTAAATAGTATTAATTAAATAACAAACATATCGTACATATGACAATTAACGAAATAATTATCATACAACCTGCAACATACAACCTACAACCTGCAATTTGACACCTACAATTTGCAACCTGCAACCTTTAACATGCAACCCGCAACCTTTAATCTGCAACCTTCAACTTGAAACCTACAACGTGCAACTTGTAACTTGTAATATATAACATGTAACTTGCAACCTATCACTTGCAACCTATCACTTGCAACCTATAACCTGTAACCTGTAACCTGCAACCTATAACCTGCAACATTCAACCTGCAACATTCAACCTGCAACCTGCACCCTCTTACATGTAACCTGCAACTTGCAACCTGCAACCTGCAACCTGCAACTTGTAACATGTAACTTGTAACGTGTAACTTGTAATTTGTAACCTATTACTTGTAACCTACAACCTGCAACCTATAGCTTGCAACTTGTAACCTGCAATCTACAACCTGTAACATGTAACCTCTAAACTGTAACCTGAAAACTGTAACATGTAGTCTGTAACATGTAACCTGTAACATGTAACCTATAACATGTAACTTGTAACATGTAACCTGTAACTTGTAATGTGTATAATTTGTAACTTGTAACATGTAACCGGTAACCAAAATAAATAATAAAAGTGACATAATCATAAAAGGAATTCATAGACAAGAGATATATTTTTTTCTCCTCTCACATAACTAGAAAATAATTAATTAGTTTTATATTTGCATTAATGTAGTACTTGTGAAAAATATCCATTGGATTAAAAAGTTTTAGAACATTTTTCCGTACACACCGAATAAATCTTAATGGGCCACAATCGAACTTTTTCATTTGAGCCATAATTTCTCACTTGAAAGTTGGCCCAGTCTTCTAATAAATGTGGATACCTACTATTGATAAATATAAACGGGGAAGAACCTGCTCTAGCCATAGTATCTATTCGTCATTTCCAATCATCAAGTCCAAAACAAAGGTCCAAAATATAATTTTTTTTTATAATTGTATGATAGTATTTTATGTTTTTTTACAAAAAAGTTAAATTATTTTTTCATTTTATTTACTTCTCAATTTAAAATGCGATCAATAATAAAAATATTATTATAATAACCATCGAATCTTATCAGTGTGTTACGTTATATGTGTAATAAACAAAGGTTTAGTTTACAGATAATATATATGATAATAGATTTATAGTGTTTGGTGTTGTTTAACAGGATAGAGACATAAATAAAAACTTAAATTATAAGGAAAATAAAGTTGAATATGCTCTGCGTCAATCTTATTGTCACGCATATTTCATACATTGATATTTAAGTTTTCTTTTTATATATATAGTAAACTTATGAAATACACAACTTGTTGCAAGGACTGTGTTATCCTAACTCCAGAACTTTCTGCAGCCTTTATTTCTTGCCCAACATTCACCATAAATTTTGCCTTTGAATTATTTGGGTTGGCTGGAAGTAGGTCCATGAATTTTGAATTGCTATAGTGGTTTGTTAGAAAAATAAATGTTCAAGTCAGAATGGTTAGAGATTTTTATGGTGTGGGATTGACTTAAAGATCCTCAATATTCGGGAATGTTCATCAAGTTGTAGAATCAAATATCAAATGCATAATTAGGAAGATAATAGGTTTTGGAATTGAGTTAAATATGTTACTGGAGACAAGATATACATGCTATATAGACTTAGAGGTCGTGTTATTCAACATGAAAAACTAAGGTACTGATGTTTTCTATCTATAAAGTTATGTCAAACATAATAAGATTTAAATCATTTAAAAAAAAAAATTCTAATTCTTTCACGTATAACAATGTTGGTTTTGGGAAATAATTGAAAATATCTTTATATAGGTAGTGATGACAAATTATCTCTTGTAGTTACTGAGACTTTCCTAACATTTTATATGGGTTGTAAATACTTTAATATGCATCGTATCTTAATAATATATCATTATCATTTGTTTCAATATTTAATTTTATAAAAAATAATGTTTAAGTGATACTTTCTTTTAGGTTTAGACAAAATGTATTATATCTGTTTAATAATTATTATTTTAAACGCAATAATGTTTTATTTTTCTTAAAAAAAAATCTCCATTTCTCTTTAAAATATTCACTGTGTAATAATGATATATATATTTTTATTTAGACATACTCCTTAAATAATTTAAACTTATTTTTTATAGCCTCTTATTACTCGTTTAAAAATTATAAATGACTGAATTTATAATAAAAGGATGGTACTGGTCTTTCTCTTACGTTAATATGTTTTTGTAAAAATTTAGAAAATAGAGTATTAGAATTGATAGATGTTTTAAAATAATAAGATCGAGTATTTTTAATATTAATATAATTCAATAATATAAATATAATTTGATAAACTTGTCTCATTATCTAAAACAATCACAACTTCTCTATAAGGTAAGGGAAACTAGTATTTATGCTTAAATTTTAGTTTAGAATTGTGATTGGTTGTTGTTAGGATGATGTGATGATTTAAATGTGATTGAGATAACCATTTTAGTGTTCATTTGTATTTTGATTAGTGTAATTAGTTATGTGATACTTGATGCCTTGTATGATTCTGTTTTGGATTGGATTTGTTTTATGAATGTTGTTGTTGTGAATTTTAGTGGTATAAATTTAATGTAATTTGAGAAAAAAAGGATTTTGAATGAGTTAGTGGTCGTTTTTAGTATAAAAAAGAGGTTTTCATAGGTGAGATTTTGAATTAAGGGTCAAAAAGGAAAAATTGAGTTATAGCATGTATTTGGTGATCATTGAAACTTATTACAGCCTTGAGTTAGTAGAAATTTGTTAAAAAAATGGTTGGTAGTTAATAGGTTGTGTTTTGGATGGTTTTAAGTTCATTTTTATGGGTTTGGACTAGTAAGATTTTAAAATATAAGGTTTGAGGCAAATTGGAATGTTTGAGGTTTGTGGTTGAGTATTTTTTGTGATATTTTATTGTATACTTAGTGATATGGTTTGAAACACGTGATGGTATAGAATTATGGTTTTAAGAGTTCTAAGGAAAGAAATCTTATTTGTGGTATCAAAGTGTGTTGATATGAATGTTGGAAGCTCAGTCTTGGAGGTTATACTAACATTTAATAAATCAACCTTGTGTATGTGATAGGATGAAATTCATTAACAATGGCTCTGCAAAGCACTAGAGATCACCACAAATGCATGAATCTCAATAGTTTGTGCTTAATTCTTTTCTTCATTAGTTTATCCTTTCATGTGTGTTTCTTTGTGGATTGTTATTGTGTGTTGATCCTTTTGACGTTGATCATCTGATGGGTATGAGTAAAGAAAGATGACTTGTCTTTTTGAACAGATTTTGGATAGAGATGACGTTAATGTATATATGTTGTAAAACATATATATATATATATATATATATATATATATATATTTCTTTTAGATGTACTAGCTACATAGTTTTTTTTGGATCAGTGATTTATATATAAAACTTGACTTATAATTATATTTGGATAAATGTGCTGTGACTTTGTATTTATTTGTTAAGTGTTTTATTTTTATTTATTATGTGATAACTTCTGTATAATATTTGTATTATTTAAATGAGAAGTTTTTTCAAA